AAATCAAAACCAAGCACACACCCAGGGCTGCCGTGTTCCCGACCACACACTCATGTCAGTGGGTGCCTTGATCTCAGACACTGCAAGTGGCTGCAGCAATACGCAGACACGTAACTAGAGCCAGACAAATGTCCATAATGGGAAGCATGTGGGCAGTGGCCCCATCACACAGAAGGCAGGACTTCCAGTGTCTCCGGACACACCTCCTTTGCAGCAGTGAGTGGTAAAGCAGCTTGGCCCCTCCCGGACGCCCCCTGGTGAGAGGACATTGACTTTCTGCCGTACTGACCTATTTCCCAGCTGACCTTCATTCCGAGGAAACTACACCAGTGTCTCCTCACTTGTGCAAAGGTGACATACATGAGTTCTAAGGATAACAAGAGCCAGTGAGACAAACCTGAGAGTCATAGCTAACTCATGTTGAATTTTTAAGCTAAGGCTAAAAAACAAAGGTGCTGATATCTGAATCTGTGCTTCCCCTTCTCTAACATTCACAAATCCTGGAGGGGGGGGAGGGGGTAAGGGGGGGTAAGGGGCAGAATTGCTGAAATGCAAATTCTGACTCAAGGGGCTTTGGGGTGATCGGGAGACTGTTTAACAAGCTCCCAACAAAGCTGGGCTCATTAACAAATGCTGATATCCAAATAAGTCCTGGCAGCCTCTGTGTTCTTCTAATTCAGAAGAATATTGTTACAGGAAGACCAATGATATGAGTCTAAAAGTGGACTTTGATACTAAACACCTCTCAATTAGAGGGGGAGATGAGTTTACAAAATGAAAGTAAGGTACCAGCAAGAAATCTCTTACGAAAAAATGTAAGGCTTTAGGAAAAGCTACTTTAGGCCTTTGTAAAATTCAGTTACACAAATTAAAGACAGCAGGAGCCTGGCATAGTAGTTAGCAGACAATTTGGACAGGAATATCCCCATGAATACAAGGGCAATTTTCCTGCCTCTTCTGGGTTGTTGGCAGGTGAGTGTTAGTGTGTACATATGGAAGAACAAAAATAATCCCCAAAAATTAAAATTTGAAACACCTTTCCTATCTCTTAGATAACCCTTGCAGGGTTCAAAAGTGTCTTAGAATGCAATTGTGGAGATTTCTTTTGTATATTTATAAAAACTAAGACAAAAAAATCCAGCCGGCTGCTACCCTGGCCCACTGGTTCTGCAGCTAGTCCAGATGCTGCCCTGAGACATTGGGAACAACTGAGGCACCAACTTTGCCATCTCCCCAGAGGCCAATTGAGTTGGGGGATAAAGCCCTGGCAGACCTCTGAGCAACTGCTGGGGCCATCAGGGTTGAAGACCACTTCATATGTTTGCAATAAAAGCCTAGAATCTTATCAGTTGAACAGCCTGCTGCCATGTCTGGAAAAGGGACACAACAGTGTTTTTATTTTAATCCATATCCTTTATTTTATTTTCACATGCATCATGCTATATGCATCACAAAAGCTCATAAAACACATTGGAAAAAAGCTGTGTCGATATTCTAGCGAACAGCTGAGAGTAAACCAAAAAGCAGTTGGGACATTATATTGGCATTTTACAACCAACCCCCCCCCCTTTAAAATAAAATCTACCTCAATATCTTTTCTCTATTCCCATCCCTCCCTATAGTTTTCAAGTCACAGACTTACATAATTAATAGCAAAGCCCACCCTTGAAAAGATAATCACTAATTGTCTGGGGCTCTCTATTCAGAATTCATAGAAAATGAACAATCCAACTTTTTTCAAAAGGCAAAAGATTTGAGCAGATACTTCAGTAAAGAAAATACATGGATGACAAGCACATCAAAAGATGCCCAGCATCATTACTCACAGAGGATGTGAGTTAAAGCCACAGGGAGACACGTGACATACCTACTAGAAGAACAAAAAACAAAGCCAAAATAAACCCCCACACACCCAGAGCTGGCAGGCACACCACAACAGCAGGAACTCACGCACGAGGGGGACCCTCCACCCCAGCACGAGGGGGACCCTCCACCCCAGCACAGCGCCAGACCTGTGGGAACCTGGTGGTTTCCTGTGCAGTGCACAGAGAAAGGAGCCCACAATTCTCAAGGGGAAATAACTGAGGAAATGGCCAGTGTACAGTGTATGCCCTTAGCTGTCCCGGTTCCAGCATTCAGAATAAAAGCACGGAAGGAAAACTTCAGGCGTGAATGTAAGCTGGGCATGGGGAAGCCTTGGACCACCCAGGCTCCCTGCACCATCTGACTCCTTTCCTTGGGCCTCTGTTAACGAAGGAAGTGAAAGCCTAAGAAAATATCTCAGACAGACCTTTGCTGCAGCTTCACTCTAATTCTTACCTCCCTCACCCTGCTTGTAAATGCTGGAAGGGCGGTCTGGACAATCTGATGCAGGATGTCGACATAGGTCTGAATTTCCATAAGATTCTGTTGGAGGAAGGAAAGTATTCTCATAAAAACCTGAGCTGCAGGCTTCCTTGGCAGTGCAAAGGGTTAAGTCTCAGCACTATGAAGCCACTGCAGCATGTTTGATCCTTGGCCAGGGAGCTACCCACATGGCGCAGCAGACCTCTCCTCTCTCGACCACTGCTCCTCTCAGAAGTGAATTTCAGTCAATCTGCCTGTTCTGCTCCCCACTCTGTCTCTGGTGAGTACTGTCACCCCCTGCACCTCTGGCCTACACCCCAGTTCGTATATGCATAAATAAATAGTGAGTTTTCCTTCCAGCAGCAGGTGACCCCTGAATGATCTCACGTGTTCTGCTTCCACACACCACTGCAGTGATATATGCAGGGGGCCGTGATGTGTCTTTAATCTTAATGGGCAGATTAGTCCATTTCGCTATTTCACCACAAGTAGGTGAATGCTTTGCTGCTGTGTTCGCAAAGCCCTGGGCGACAGAGGTATGAGAGGCAAGGCAAACAGTGTGAAAAGGCCCCTGAGAGTATAGAGGACACTTTCTGACACTAGCATGGGCAGCGCTTCAAAGGACAGGCCGACCAGTCAGCCTAAACCGTGTACTGGCAACGCACAGCCTCTCGCAAACGATGGAAGCTTCATGGATCTCAGGTTCTCCTGAAAAACTGGGGCACAGTCAGGAAAGGATGGCCAGATCCCCTTTATGAGCAGAGCTGCGCTCATCTATGTGAAGGCTAATAAATGGCCTGGCTGCCCCCGTCGGTAGTATGCCTCGGCCAGCCCCAGTCCTTTCCCATCCCTGACTCAGGACACGGAAGGACAACTCTCTAGCCAGTGATGACTTAAAAAGAGGCCATTTTCCCTCCCTGGTGGCGCAGCGGGTTAAAGCACTGCACTAAGAAGCTGAAACCACTTCCGCATGAGTTTGATCCCCGCCTGTCCTGGAGGTGACCACATAGCGCGGCAGACTTCTCCTGACCCGCCCACTGCTCCCCTCAGCAGTGTACTTCGTCGATCTGCCTGTTCTGCTCCCCACTCTGTCTCTTGTGAAGCCTCTCACCGCCCCTGAGCCTCTGGCCTGTACCCCAGTTTTGTATGCACAAATAAATAAATCTTTAAAAAAAAAAAAAGAGGCCATTTTGTAGTCTGATGAAACCAGGCCTGGGAAATTATGAGCTCGCAATCCATTACTACTGTTACTCTAAATGGTCTCCGAGAAAGCTCTGAGCTGCTTAGAATCTGTCTCTAGCTAGGGATCTTAGGATTCCTGCAAAATACAAGAGAGACAAGAAGCAGAGCCTGATGGAAAGTTAGGGGAACAGCAAAAGGAGAGGAGTCAGCCCATTAAGGCAGAAGATGCCTCCAGATCAACGAAAAATAAATTTCTGTTGTGTGTAAGTCCCCCAGGCTATGATATGATGCTTTGTTACAGCAACACAAAAGGACAGGCACAGACCCCGAGAGAAGGATCTGAGTGGAAATAATTTACTTGGGCCAAGATGCTGAGAAACATGGGTAGTGGAATGAGGAGGAGAGACAAGGAGGAGAAGGTGGTCAAGAGAGGTGTGTTGTCTGGTAGTCACCACTGTGGGCACCTGAGCCCAGGCCTAGCAGGCATCTAGGCGAGCTGGTGCAGGAGAGAGGGTGAGGCGCTGAGGCGCGTGTCTACCAGCTTATATCAGTTTTTGGCTAAGTCTGCCCCCAGGAGCATTCATTCCCCAATTGTCCTTTTAAGTAGGGACAGCAGCCTGCAGCAGCCTGGAGAAAATGCTGAGGCAAAATTGCAGATACTGATAAATGGAGCAAGGAGAAGACACTGGCAAGAACAGCCCAGGGCATGGCCATGCCCGCAGGTCCTCTCTACTCAGTTTCGCACACAGCTGTGCAGAAAGGAGTCTGGTATTTGTATTTTGAAGAAAAGAAGCTCAGAGAGGGTAAGGCATTTGCCATGATTACACAGCTCCAGGGTGTGATTTCTCCAGTACACCAAGGCCCCCCAGAGTCAGGCTTAATGAGAAGCTGGGTGGGGTAGGAGACAGAGCAGAGCAGAGCACTACATCAAAGGATCACCAGAAGCAGAGTTTTTAAAAACAAAGCAAAACTGCCTTTTTTGCATGTCTACGTTTTCTGAACTGAAACAGTTGACAGATTGTAGCTTAGTTAGGACAGATCTATATAAAATAGCTTTGTGAACTGTAATGTGGTATATAGATATCGGTACCCAACGCACTCACTACACCCTCCTCTCCATGCACCTGCTTCACTGTGCACTGCCCAGCACCCCACATGCCACCCACACAGTTCCATGAACACAAAAGGTCTCTAAAGGGATCGTTTTCATATACAAGTGCCCTGGACTAAACTGGGTTTTCTGGGGGAAGATTGTCCAAAAGGTTGTGGTTACCTTTTTGTACCTATCCTTTGTTGCACTGATACCATCCTGCAGAAACTGGGCTTCCAGCTGATGACGAAGATTCCCAAGTAAGGCTTCATCTTCTTCCTGCAATGAGACATGCCACACACCCGTCTCAGAAGGGCCTCGCAACAGAGACTTCTGGGAGTAAGCCAGACACCTGGGTCTTGTTACAGCACAGCCCTTATTCAGCAGGTCTCAGCGGGCATCTGAGATTCTGCATTTCTAGCGAGGCACTGGATTAGGCTGAACCATAGTTCTCAGTGAGTGTAGGGGGACTTGATTTTGCCCTCATGGGGACATTTTTAATTATTACTATTTGGATGGTGGGGTGCTACTTCCTATCAGCATGCTGCTAAATATCCTATGATAACACAGGACTGTCTCCAACAATAAAGATTTCTCTAACCTCACATGTTTGAATGTGAGAAAACTTGAGAAACTTTGATACAGAAAAATCGGGGGTGGGAGGTGAAAAGCTAGGAGGTAGAAGGGGTGAAATTAGAGTTTATTTATATTTACATACCAAAATCTTAATTTTTTTAAGATTTCTTTTATTTATGCATACAGAACTGGGGTACGGACCCAAGATGCAGGGGTGGTGAGAAGATTCACCAGAGACAGAGTGGGGAGCAGAACAGGCTGACTGATGAAGTACACTGCTGAGGGGAGCAGCAGGCAGGTCAGGAGAAGTCTGCTGTGCCATGTGGGTCACCTCCCTGGCTGGGACAGAACTCAAGCTGAAGCACGGGCAGCCAGCCTCACAGTGTTGTGCTTTAACTCATTGCACCACTACAGAGGGCCCAAAAATAATCTTAAAATTTGATCTATGTTTGTTCTATATTTCCACAGTGAATTAAGTTTCTAAGACTAAAACATAGTTTGCCCTTAATACAGAAACTTTCATTTTAATATTTTTCTCCTAAGTACTGCTGACACTTTAAAATCATGCATCTTCTATACAAAATGCATTTTTTAGAATAATTGCTATGACAGAAACTTGTGTTCCTTTACAGCTGGAAATGGCATTTATGACAAAGCCTGATGGGTCTTGCCAAATTTTCTAATAGACTATTGACATTTATTTCATTGACCTTGCTTGGATAAACCATATAGGTATAAAGAACTGTCTGAATAAGGTAGGTTGTGATGTCTGGAATTGACTTAACTACTTCAGGGGTCATTGCCCTATTTCAGTGAGTGTTACTGGGGTTCCTAGGAATTGCCCACCCACCTATCCACTTCTGCCATGCATACCCACCAATAGCTGAAAGCTTGCTATGTGAATTTTTACTGACTTATTAATGATGCATTAAAACATGTGAGCAATGTCAGCAATAGGAATCAAATTCACCAGGGTATATGGAGATACAGGATTGATGCTGTCAATAAGGCGCTCAGAACTCCAACCACTGGGTCACCTGTCTTGAACAAACTTTTCATGCAAAGTATTGTTTTAGCACCTAGACCATCAGAAAGCAGGGACGTTAGGGGCTGGTGGGGGGCCTAGAGAAGAGACTATATGAACTTTTGGAGGACCTGTAACAGAATAAATGAAAACATCTGTGTGAATTTGGTCTGAAACGAACAAGATTTTTTAGGGGAGTGGCTAACCTCACCCAACTCAAGCATCTGGATATTTTTATCTACCTAAAAGAACTTGAGGGTTCATTTGAAGGAACTTAAGGCTTGTGCAAGATCAAACTGGTCAGTTTGCAACTGTTAGGAATGTGTCTTAATGCATTCTTTTTGCATAGGTTTATGCAAGTAAAAATTAAATGTTATCCTGATTTAGCAATATAGCATTGTCCCAGCTTCCATGATTTTTAATTTCTAGTATTCGGAGTAAATGAAAATTTTTTAAAGATTTATTTATTTGTGCATACAGAGCTGGGGTAGAGTCAGAGGTGCAGGGGCAGTGAGAGGCTTCACTAGAGACAGAGTGGGGAGATTGTCAAAAGTACACTGCTGAGGGGAGCAGCAGGTGGTTCAAGAGAGGTCTGCAGCACCATGTGGGTCACCTCCAGGGCAGGGATCGAACTCATGCTGAAGTGGCTTTAGTTTCTTAGTGCTGTGCTTTAATCAGCTGCATCACCCTAAATAAACATTTTTAAATGGGTGATATTAATTTTAGTAATATATACAAAAAATTATCATTTCACCCTGTAATAAATATTTGAAAAGTAATTGATGAGCTAGTTTAGACTCTTTTTCAGGCTTGTTCTCTGAAACCTAATGTATACATTACACTTAAAACACAATGCAATTTGAACCATTGTTTGATCTGTCCATTGTTATATGTGGCTACTGGTTCCCCAGCTGGACAGCAAAGCACATTAGGAACAATGTCAGGTTCTCATTCTTCTTCAGTATCTCTTCCAGGGGAAACCACCACCACCACCCAGTCTCCCATCCTGTAATTTCCAGTTACCCAATTCTTTCTTCTTAAGACTCTGAAACACCTCCCAGGGTGCCAGAAAGGCCAACACTGGGTGACCAAGTTGGGATCTTTCAATCAGATAGTGGGAATAACCCTGAACCTAGACTTAGTTTCCCACCGTTTGTTTGTCCCTGGTTTCACTTGCTGCTTTTTTTTTTTAATAATATAATAGTTTATTTTCACATCATTTTGTGCCTTTTTCCATTTCAGTTGTAATCCCCATGGGCTTCCCATCACCAAATCACCCTTGTGCCATCACCATAATCCAGTGGAACTTCCCTCCCCTCACCATTTTTGATCTCATTCCCCACTCCATCTCCATTAAATGTCTTCGGTATATGGCTGTTCATTATTATTATTATTGTTATTTTCTCCCCTGGTCCTTTGTACTCCTGCTATGAGTGAAACCATCTGGTATTTTTCCTTTTCTTTCTGGCTTATTTCACTAAGCAGGATCCCTTCCAGCTCTATCCATGGTGCTGCAAAAGGCATGTGTTTATCTTTGTGATTGCTGAGTAATATTCCATTTTGTGTATGTATCACATCTTTTTAATCCAGCCCTCTACTTTTGGGCATATGGGTTGATTCCATGTCTTTCCTACTGTAAATAAAGCATACTTGCTGCTTTTTCCAAAGCCCCACTCACTCCTCAGCCCCAGAGCTGGGTATCTGCTGTGGCATTACTGCTTGCTAGGAAAAGCAAGAGGTGTGGGAAAATCATCCCCTTTAAGAAATCCATACACTCTTTGAAGTTTTTTTCTGTTGGCTTGTTTGTTTTAATCAGAAGAAAAAGAAAAATACCAGATGGTTTCACTCACAGCAGGAGCGTAAGGGATTGGGGGGGGGCAATTGTAATGAAGTAAAACTGAAAAACAATGAACAACTATAAACTAGAAACATTTCATGGGGGTAGAGAGGAGAATAGGACCAAAACTGAGATGAGAAGAGTGCACAGGACTATAGTGATGCACACAGGTGAATTGGTGGTTGGCAGTCCATGGGGATTACAACTGAGATGAAAAAATGCACAGAATGAAGAACAATGTAAAGATTATATAAAATAATTTTTCTAAAAAACTAAAAGGAAATTAAATTATAAAACAGGACACGTTTCTAAGTACAGGACTCTGATTGTCTAAACTAAATTAATGTGAAATCTAAGTATGTGTGTTTAGCTTCTGGTTTCCTTTTTTTTAAAAAAAAAAAATAATGAATAGTTTATTTAGAAGTGTAGTGAAGGGTCCTATATATACAGATGCCTGTATCAAGGGACCAGTATGCAGAACTCACCAGTATTGTTTCTTCCTTCAGAAGAGGTATATTTGTATACTGACCTTCCTTTTAATGCTCCTCTGTAAATAAAGTGTTAATTCCCCCAAGTAACGTGGGCAGGGCTCTTGAAGGGTCTGGTTTTCTCAATTACCCAGAATTATTACATAAGCCTAGCGCTGTCCCGTCATGAAAAAATGGTAGTGTAAGAAAGGCTGATTGCCTTCCCAGCAGGAGGAAGTGCCGAGGAACAAGAAACTAAAGGCACTGGACACTGGGTCCCAGATGCTAAGTCTCGGACCTCTCTTGCTACTCAAGAGCTCAGACCCCATTCTACATGGCGCCAGCCATTCTTGCCCCCACCTCCATCTCAGGATCATTCCAAACAACCACTCTTGCTTGGATTGCTTCACCGAAGCATTTAAAACTGCTGATAGTGACAACAAGCTCCAGCCAATATTTATCTTTTTTTTATTGTAAATAAATCAAAGATTTATTTTTCATTTATACATGTTTGCCTTAGATGATGAAGTCATTAAATATTGGCCACAAACATTTTGTCCTTTCATAGAGAAATTAACATAGTAATTAGGCACTAAGCACTTGCTAAATTAAAAAAAAAATCCTCAACTAAATTATGGGATCAAGATTTTCGATCTTGATGAAGATTGGTTATTTAAAAGCACCCTTCCCTCTATCTCAGTGTTAATAATTTTTTGTTGTCTGTCTCTGAAATTTTAGAAAGATCACTTTTCCCCTTGTTTCAATATTTATCTTTAAAATAGGGATTAGCCAGATGTTTCTGCAAGTACATTCTCTTGCTTGGAAGGCAATCATGGGATAAACTGCTTCGAAAGTGAGTAGGTGTGGCTGGAATGTGCTGTTGCTCCTGTGCTGGGGAGAATTCATTTGGATGCGCTTTCTTTTGTTTTCACTCAGAACTCAGAAATGTGTAGATGCTCCTGTTTTTATTATGCTATAGATGATGTCAGCTGCACTTTCAAAAGCTCCCCCAGCACCACCAGCAAAAGCATCTAGATTTTTCAGAACTGAGACTCTAGATCAATAGTCCAAGTTTACAAAACACTACAGCCCTGGTATTGAATGTTATAGATCTCGGACAGAGCTACTCAGAGTATGGTCCCTAGATCACACCACTTGGGAAATTATTAAATATGCAAATATCTGGAAGAACGTAGGTCTATTGGTCAGAATTTCTGGGAAATTATTAAATATGCAAATATCTGGAAGAACGTAGGTCTATTGGTCAGAATTTCTGGGTTTAAACCCCTGAAATGAACATACTCTGGCTCTTATTCATCTATTGAAGTTTTAGAATTTCTTGTCTAGACCATTTTTAAGAAAGGAACTGGAAAAATAACTAGAATACAATGTACCCTGAAAAATCAGCCTCATCAACTCTACTCACATAGATGCTAGAAATTCCATTAAAAACCCAACTGCTAATGACTAAGTAAACTCCATTAAAATTTCTAGTAAGCTAAGGTTTAATTGAAAAGCACTTTTTCTTCAACCCTGGAAAAATAAGCCTTAGCTTAATGGTCTCATAAAAAGACAGAAGCTTTGTTCTGAAGTTTAATTACCTAAGTAATATTAATAGATGGCAGTTTGTGAAAGCATTAGCTATCAGTCCCTGTCACTCTGTCATATTTTCCAAGATCCAAAGGCAAAGGAAATGGGCATTGAGACTGAGCTGACAGCCCAACCCTTATTGATATGATGTATGTAGACACTCAAAGATTTGTCAACCAGTATCATGGGCCAGACATGAATTCTACTCTTCCATTTCTGCTCCCTTCCTAATGCATAGAGAATGCCAGCCTTCACTTAACCAAACCCCTAAGGGGACGTCTTAGTTTGAGTTTCCCAGAGGTACACTTCCAGGCAAGAACTGGACTTGCGTTGCTCACCTTGCTAGTGAGGGAGGGCAGTGATACAGGAAAGGGGAGAAGCCAAAGAGAGTGCATAATGAGCATCACTGTGGACACCTGGGGCTGGGGTCTCTGAGTGTAGCTACCAAGGTTGAGCCTGGGGGAGCTCAACCACCTGCCCCAGACCCCCAGTGGCTGAGGGTTGTTCCTGGAGGAGCTGATGCCCACACTTCAGACAGTGCCTCCTGCAGGTCACTCACGTTCCCAAGTCTGACAGATGCAGGAAGCTACCAATGTACTCAGTGTATCTACCCGACCTTGAGGTGACACCCGGAGAGGTGGAGTGAACACCGAAATCAAGTGCACATACTCAGAAATGCTGTGCGTCTGTCTCCTGGGAGACAGAGATTCCCTGAATCTCCTTACAAGTAGAGAATCAACTGTGGACACAAAAGACCTCACAATACCTGCCTATACCTACCACAAGCTGTGAGGCCCTAAAGTCATTTCATCTCACCAAGGGCGATTTCCCCGCCGTGACCAACACACAAGTTTGAACTGAGTCTTTGGGGCATAAGTCAATAACCACAAATCTATTCCAAGGCTCCCACAAGTTTAGGCCTTAGTTTAAGGTCTTGCCCAGCTTCGCATTTGTGTGCTGTGTGTTGTGTTCATTGTTTCTGCTGTATCTAGAGTATTACATGTACTGTTATTCACCCCATATTTTTTTCAAATGAGTCATTTTTTAAAATAATATAATAGCTTTTTTTACATCATTTTGTGCCTTTTTCCATCTCAGCTACAATCCCTGTGGGCTTCCCATCACCAAATCACCCATATGCCATCATCATAATCCAGTGTACTTCCCCCCCTCCCGTTTTTTATCCCATTGCCCACTCCGTCCCCGGAAAATGTCTCTGGTATATAGTTATTCATTATTATTATTATTTTCTCCCCGGTCTTTTATACTCCTGCTATGAGTGAAACCATTTGGTATTTTTCCTTTTCTTTCTGACTTATTTCACTAAGCATGATTCCTTCCAGCTCCATCCATGTTGCTGCAAAAGGCATGTGTTTATCTTTTTTGATTGCTGAGTAATATTCCATTGTGTATATGTACCACATCTTTTTAATCCATTCATCTACTTTAGGGCATCAAATGAGTCATTTTTATTTTCAGGCATGTGAAAAAGGAATTTTTTGTCACCTGCTATTAATAAAAGATAATCATAAAAATTAATTCACAACTGCTAAGAATTTGGCCCTCCACGAATGATCTTTAGATCATTCTCATCCCCCTAGGTTTACAGCCCCACACTCTGGAGAAAACTAAGCTGACATCTGTCACACTGAATGCTCTGTAATGTAACCGGCTTCGATTGGAAAAAGTTACATATTTGTCCCAGAGGAGGTGATCTGTGGACATGATGGCGGGCCCATCTGGCAGCCTGGGGTCCCCACCAAAATCAAGTTTGGGGACTGACTATGAGGTTGAGTAGAACAGTTGGATAACATCAGATGCTAAGGCCCAAATCCCAGTTCAGATTTACAGCAGGCTAGGCATCACTGCCTCACAAACCAATCACTGAGCCTGCGTGCTTAGCGCCATCTTTCTGCTTATATATACATGTTTGAGTTGGCCTAAGACAGCCCCCATTCCTGCTGACATGCACAATCATTGACACTACCCCTTTTGCAGATGTATCCTGGCTTGGACAATATATCACATGCACACACAGAGAAAGGCACAGAAGCATCATGCAGTAGGGAACAGACGTAGCAAAATTCTCCTTCCATAGATTACAGTTCTGACTTTCCTACCAGCTAGCAGACTAAATCCAGAAACAAGAGGTTGGACAAAGTCAGGGAATTCAAATATCCTGAACTAACCCTGAATCTTCAAAGTGCTGCATGGAGTTCTACATGGAAAAGAATCCTAAGGTCACATCTGGGTACAACAAGGAAAGATGCTGTATTTTAGCAGTAATTCAGATGAGGCTGTGGGAATTGAAGAAAGGGATGGGTTGGGGAGGGAAAAGGGGAGAGAAGAGGGGAAGACAGTCATGTGTCCTCCATAAACAGCCCTTCAATCAAACTTGGGTCTTTTCAACTCTGATATTTGAGCTTTAAAATGGTCAGCAAAGGAAAATGCTCACAGCTACTTCTCACCCTTGATATTGTCCGACCTCTACGGATTATTCAGTTATCTGGTAGTCAAGCTTTCCTGCTAATGTAGAAAAACCAGTTGGCATAATGATGGAAGATCCATAGAAGGAAGCTGTCCCCAGCAAAACAAAAAGAAACAACTCCACACAACCTTCACAGAAGTATCTCCAGCAAGAAGCTCAGATCCTTCGCAGAACAGGCCGACTGATGAAGTACACTACGTTGGGCGCAGCGAGCGGGTCAGGAGAGGTCTGCCCTGCCATGTGGTCACCTCCGGGTTAGGCAGGGATCAAACTCACGCTGAAGTGGCTGTAGCTTCTCAGTGCTGTGCTTTAACCAGCTGCGCCACCAGGGAGGGCCCTACAGTTAGATAATTTTGTTTTAAGATTTATTTATTTATTCATACAGAACTGGGGTACAGGCCAGAGATGCGGAGAGGGAGAGGATTCACCAGGGACAGAGTGGGGAGCAGAAGAGGCAGATC